TGGTTACACAACAATGTAAATGTACTTAACACAACTGAACTGGACACTTAAAAATGGTTAAGTTGGCAAATTTTATAGGATACACATAATTTTAAAGATCAGAGACCTAATCTTATAAAAATGATTACAAGTATCAAGATTAAAGCCCCTATAAAAATATTTTGATAAAAACAAAAGGATTATACAATACTGAAGCTGAGGACCTGAGGGTTACTGTAAATATTCAGTAAGATTACCTTTGACCTCGTTATGTAAAGAAGTTAATCTTGTCAACTTGCTGTTTTCTTGTTTAACCTGAGGGCTGACTCAAGGGTCACAAGGATAGATGAGCTTGTTTTATGGAAGAGAATGCCTTCAAGGACCACCAGATTACAGCCCCCAGCTGCCATCAAAGCCAGAAGCCAGATTGCCCAAGATGCCCAGAGTCTCATCAGGAGTGAAAGAAAGAAAATTATCCTTTTATTTCTCCAAATCTCCTCCTGCCACCCCTTAGCTCTATAAAACCCTGCCTCCTTCTCTTGTTAGGCAAATTTGAAGAGAACGCACTTCCCACTTTCTCATTTTGGCCAATTCCAATAAACCTTTCTCCATCTCCAAGCACCAAAGTCTCAGGGTTTGGCTTACTATGCATCGGGCACATGAACTTGAGATTAAGAGGTTCTGCAACAATTTTACTAAAGAAATTAAAGAAGATCTATATAAATGAAAAATATAATCACAGATCAGAAGACTCAATGTTGTTATGATGTCAATTCTTCCTCAATTGATCTATATAATCAACGCCATCCCAATCAAGGGAATTGACAAGTTAATTCTAAACTTTAAAGGGAAATGCAAAAGACCTTGAATAGCCACAGCTTGAAAAAGAACCATGTTGGAGGACTTACACTACCTTCTTTCAAGACTCACTCTAATTCTCGCATTTCAGAGAGTGGGTCACTAGCCTAAGAACAGGAAGAAGGAAGCAGGCCATGGGGGTGTTCGGAGGGAAGAAGGCAAAAAGCTTGGGTTTTCAGTCTTGTATTTTCATTCTCAAGAATCAGAACAAATTCTATGAGTCTGACTTAAGAGACAGCTGATTGACATTTGAAGGCAATATCTTTGGAAAACTACCTGGAAGGACATTAAGTATAAACATACCCAACAGAAGGGAGAAAAAAAACAACGTGATTTTCAATTTTCAATTTTATTAAAGTACAGAGTTAACAAGTTTTGAGTTTTCTACATAGGAAAAGACTGGTCAACTTCAGACGCCTCATAGAAAAATTAGCACTCAAAAAACAAATATAAATCCATAGTTGCCTTTGTGACTAAAGGGGAAAAAGTAACTATTTAAAAAGTTACCAGAACTCTAACCATATTCGAGACCATTATAAATTTCAAACAGCAGATTCACCACACACACTACATTTTCAAATTCTAATAGCAAGACATAACCACATAATTTGGCTACAGCTAATTGTTTCAGAAAAGTTAAAAAAATTAACAAAGTTATGACTATAAAACTTTTGTAGAGTTTTCTTGCAAAGTAAAAAACTCTTAAATCTTTAATAAAGGAAAACAAAATAATCCTCTTAAACTTCTTATAAATAGCTCTCAAGACATATATTACGCATCTGCTGCAAGCTTTCTTTACCTGAGAGAATTTCCCAGGATCCTTTACCCCAAAGGATTACCTTGAAGAATTCTTCCACTATGTTACTCACATAAATATGATTAAACTTTTATAGAAGTGGATTTGGACATAGGCATTCTTAATCTGTCCTCTCCAATTAAGTTTTTTCTTAAAAGATTTTGCTTTTTAAAGAAAAACAAAAACCAGAAAACCTCTTTGGTAAAAGCCAAATATTTTCCCCCTTCAAAATGAATGCCTCTGCAAATGATTTACTAAGGGGAAAAAAACAGAAAGGAAGATCTTTAGAGAGGCTAGTGTTAGTTCTAAAGACCTGCATGAACGGCTCTGGGGTCTGTAAAGCATGTCCCACAGGAGAGAGCCCTTTTCTGCCTGAAATGCAACAGTAGATTAAAATGTCTGAGGCTCTACAAATGTATTAAAGACGGCAGGAAACACAGTGGCCTTAAGAACAAAGTCGCAGGGAGTTAGTTCTATTAGCAAATTAAGGAGAACGTCCCAGGGAATTCCGCCAGCCAAGCGGCTGCCGCACTGTCCCTCATTAAGGAGGGCCCAGTGCTTTCTGGATGCGCAGGGTCTCAGCTCAAGGTCAGACCCTCCGCAGCTGTAGGTTGAGCCCACTTTCACTTCCCAGAGGGGTGGGACACGAGTGGACATCAAAATGAGATGCTATTCAGACAGGCAGGAAAGGGAGAAAAAAGTCCTGACAGCTGAAATGCAGGCTCTGGAATAAATCACCCTTTGTAGGGTGACAAGGAGCACCAGTGGTGGGAACTGGCCAACATTAAATAAGTGCGTACTCTTAAAAAGGCAGAGGTGACAATGCGGGTGGGGGGAATTAGTACTACACAGAAGGCATCCAGGATGAAAGATCCTCTGAGGACGAGAAACAAACAAGGCGCTGTGGGAGCCCCCCTGCTGGCCATTCCTGATGGGCACCGGAACCCCGAAGCCCCAGTCACCCCACAGACACACGGACCATCTACTCCACAAAAGAGTTCCAAACTCCTCTGGCAAACAACTCCTTCAAGCCATTTCCCAAAAAACTGTGAAGACAGAGACAAATCAACTAACCAGGATTACAAAAACTCGACCCAGTCAGGACGAAGGAGGGTTTCCAAAGGCTTTGATAGAAAAGCCTCCGGTCAGGTGACACGTCTAGGTACACAGCAACCCTCCCTGGCCCCACTTAAGAGTTTTTACTCAGGAAAACGAGAGGGGCAAAAATTCCCACACTGTATGAACGGCACAGAGGAAATATACACATACAGTTTTTAAAAAGTCTTTTTAGGCTTTCATGGTTAAAGGAGTCTGACCAGCAGCTTCTGGGAATGCATTCTTTAAATCATGTACAAAAAGGTGTAGGAAGCAAAGGTCTATCATTTTAAAAGCTCTCAGTGAGTTTATCAGATGAACACCACCATTACAGCAACTCAAAGCAATTGGCACAATGTTTCCAGTTTCTTAAATCTCGATAGCACAAACATGTAGGTTCTTTAAACCCACGAATGCTGACTCACTCCCTGAGGATGGTTTATTACAATCAATAATCATGAAAATCCACCTTATTTATGTGCCCTCAGTCCTCAGAGGACATCCACGTCTCTCTCGATCATTCAGATAAACTTGCTGAAATTTTCAGTTGAGAATAAAAATCAGAGTGACCAGACCTCTTCCTCTCGCATCAGACCAAGCTGTGACGGGAACTTCAGGCCACAAACCAAGTCTTACGCAGCTGGAAAACGTGGGGCGACTGGGCAGGCTAAGCAAGGAAGCTCCGAGGGCCCTGCCGCTGGCAACGTCCTTTCCTTTAAGTTTCCCTGAGCTCTTCTGCAAGGGAAGGGGGCCCAACGAAGGCCAGCCAAGGCATAACGGCCTTGTCAGCCTGACTGTGACCTGCTGTAAGGGCCAGTTCTAAAGGCACACAGCTGGCTGTCAGACCCAGCTAGACCCCAGCAGGAAGAAGACATAATGAAACGAGTTACTGATACCACCCCAGCTCTTGATTTGTCTCTTCTCGGGGCCTTTCCTAAAGCCAGTCTCAGGGTCCCCAGAGCCATGTGGCACTGCACCAGCCACTGCGACCCACACCCCCACTCCTTCCACCTGACCCAGCCCACAGTGCTCCCACTTCCATTGGCCTAACCAGGGGCTGCACAGGAAGGCTACTCATCCATGACTCCAGATGATCTTTCCCCTACAGAACTCAGAGAGCTCCTGGCCTACAAAAAAGGAAACTTGATAAAGTTTACAAAACAAGGCTCTCACACGCACACATAATGAGTGCCTTTTGAAACTGAATCTCAAACATTGTAAATAAGGCAGTTCCTAGAGGAATTCATCCATCGTATCTGTTTTCCCCCCTTGTTTTCCTGGAAGGAGGGCAAAGGAGTAGAAGTGAAGAATTTGATGAATTTCCCATGCTAGCATTTTGGCACACTGGAACCCAGCTTAGGTGGGACCCGATTCTGCCCAACTCAAACAGGAGGGCCCAGAAAGCAAGCACAGGCCACGTCTTCTCATTCTCAGACCCTCTCTGCCAGGAAGCTGGAGACGACTCTTTCCACCCTGCGTGAAACACTAAGGAAGTGACCCCACCATGTCTCACTGGGGTCGCTAACACTTTCCACTGAGTAAAAACTTGCCTGACTGACAACATCAACACTGAAAATGGACATCTTCTTGGGCAGGTGCGTAAAGTCAAATCTCTCATGAGTGTTACTTCGCAAGTGTGTATTTTAGAGATTTCTGTGGATGTTTTTTATGGCCACCTTTTCTTCTAAGTATACGTGGTCACTTCCCAACTTGCACAATAGGCCTGGTCTGGTCAGCCCTGTTGGAGGTGCTGCCTGGGACCCTCACTTCAGAAAATCTACACCCCAGAGGCTGGCAGGTGGCGTAGTGGTTAAGTTTGTGCTCTCCACTCTGGTGGCCCGGGGTTCACCGGTGCAGATCCCGGCGAGGACCTATGCACTGCTCATCAAGCCATGCTGTGGCAGGCGTCCCATATACAAAATAGAGGAAGATGGACACAGATGTTAGCTCAGGGCCAATCTTCCCCCCCCCCCAAAAAAAAAGAAGAAGAAGAAGAAGAAAGAAAGAAAAAGAAAATCTACTCCCCAAAACCCATAATGGACATGAACAGCATGGTCGAATTACAGATCTGGAAAACAAAAGTCCTTTTGCTTTTAGGCCACAAGGTGGAAGAGAAACTGGGGGGCTGACCTCAACAACTGGAAGAGGGGTGCAGCAGGCTTCAGTCAAGAAGCAGCTTTTCAGGTAAGGTCCTAAAGTATTGTTAGTATTAATAGCACAAACAAGTAAGAACTACAACCCTCCGCCGCTGAGGCAAAGAAAACAACATGAATATTGTTCTAGAATCATGTGAATAACACGACAAATAAGAGTCATAATTATTGCAGTAACTCGGATCAGGTAGTGATAATACAGTGAGGGGCCACACGGGTGGTGACGGCAAATTGTGCTTTTTCACATTATAACAAAGATGCTGAACCCAAGAAGGATGCGGGACCCCTGGGAGGGGTCAGGGCAGAGAGTGAAGTCTGATTCCCAGCATCACAACTTCGAAGGGAAACGTTGGGGGCCAGGAGGAAACAGCACAAGGGTGGAGTTCAAAGCAGGTGTTTCCTCTTGTACCCTAGAAATACCAGGGAGCCGGGAGCAGGGTGCCTGCAGGCTGAAGGGTGGGAGTGGGGTCTGCTTTCTGTCAGGGGCTGAGGGCTCAGGATTTTGGCATATTTTCCTGTTCCAAGAATACAAATGATGGGCCACACAAGGTAAATTTTTCATCCCTGTGCTAAGATGTTGTGCCCCAAATTAAGTTTTGGTACAAACATGCAGAAGGCAAACACTAGCCTGATTACTATCCCCGTTTTTAGGTGTAAAACACATACAAAATATATTATCTCTCATAATCACTTTGGTTGAAATTTTCAATTCTTTTGGGACAAACTGATAGTTTCTTTTCGAATTTCAGAAGTAAAAAAGCTAATTAGGAGATTTCTTTTCTGAGATCTTTTCCAGACCCATTCGAGCCAGCCAGGGGATGCCAGCTTTTCACAAAGTGCCAGTCACTGCTCGAACGCCTGGGACACTTGTTCAAAGGCGTCACTTCCGGCCTGCAGGCCTGCTGCACCAAGGGGGCTGCTCAGAGCCTCACACAGAGAACTGCCGAGAGGGACAGCAGAGGGGCGCGACCAGCGTCCACAGGTATAACAGCACACATATCCAGCAGGAGGCCATCTTGACCCAGAAGATGGACCAGCTCCTGCTGAAGAAGGTTTCGATGTTGGCACTTTCATAGCTGTGGAAACAAGAGACCCGGCTATGGTCAGAGAAGGAAGAGAACAGGTGGGGAGACGGTCTCTGCCGCCAAGTCTCCTTGCTTCTCTGCCCTCTCCAGCCTTTCTTTTTTCTTTTTTCGTTAACAACTCAATTCAGATATAATTCACATCCCTTCGAAGTGTACACGTCAATGGCTTTATTATGTTAGTAGACTTGTGTAATCACCACCACAATCAATTTTAGAACATTCTCATCACCCCAAAAAGAAATCCTGCACCCTTTAGCTGCCCTCCCATTTGCAGCACATTTTGTCTATTCATTCATCAATTGACGGACATTGGGGTTGATCCCCCTTTTTTGTGGATTACGAATAATGCTGCTAGGAACATCTGTGTACAAGTTTTTGTGTGGACAAACGCTGTTGCCGTTTTTTCTTTAGGGTATATACTTAGGAGTGGAAGTGCCAGATCACACCATAACGCTACGTTTAACATTTTGAGGAACTGCCCAACTGTTTCCCAAAGTGGCTGCACCATTTTACAATCCCACCAGGAGTGTAAGGGTTCCAACGTCTCTACATCCTCAACAACATTCATTATCACTTGCCTTTTTGACTATAGCTTCCTCTATCCTTTCTTAAGCTTCCCAAGGCAAAATTTTCCACCAATTCTCAAAGTATCCCTGGGAAGCATGAGAAACACCCCCTGCCCCTTCCTCCCTCAGGAGGATGCTTGGGAAGAATTTCCTCAGTGAACCCTTCCCTGATCACCCCCTTTGAAACCGCTGACCCCGCCAGCCCCAACCCCGTTGGTTGCTCCTCATTCCTCTTCCTCATTTTATTTTTCTCCCCAATACTCGTCACTGTCTGACACACCGTCCTTGATTTGATTCTCCCCCATTACATTATAATCCCTGCCACACACAACAGTGTGCCCACAGGGAGCCACTCAATGTTTGCTGAAGGAACGAATAAAAGAGCCCAAGGAGCCTAAATATCTATCCTCAGTATATCCGAAGGTATAAAAAATTATGATCCAATAGAAACTCTGGATCAGTCAAAAACTGATCCAGAAAGAAACACAAAGAATCTCTATGATTTAAAAAGAATCCCTATGTAGTGGCAGGGAAGTCAGATCCACCAAGAATCGCCAAGGTAAAAAAAAAAAAATCCTCAAGGAGGAAAATATGTGTAATCGCATTGATGTTAAAAAAATTACAGAGGCTTGTAAACGCATAGAAAAGGAATGAAAGGGTACACACAAAATTGTTCGCAGCGCTTCCTGGGGTGGCGGGGAGAGGGTTACTGTTACTTTTCAGACTTCTACATTAGTCAGTTCTTAAAAAAAATAGATGTTTCGTACTGTAGTAATGAAAGTGTAAAACAAGGAGGGGAAGAAGACCGGAAAAAAGTAGAAAATGGGGTATTTTCTCTTTCTCAAAAGCAGACCATTGCTTAAGAATTCCCAGTTTTCCTCCACCACTATTACTATGCTCTTCAAGCCGCCCATATGGAGTCGACCTTCCAGTTTCTTAAAGGGGCAGCAGGCATCGCCAAGTTCTAGGGTTAAAACCTGTTTCTGTAAAGGTTGTGAGGACAACAGCACTAGGAGAGGAGTTTAGTGGACTCCAGATCTGACCTGTGTCTCAGCACTTTAAAGAACAGGACTTGGCTTGGAGTCTTAAAAGACCGCCCTTTTGAAACGTCTAAGACAACGGGCCACTCACTTGAACCAGTTGGTGACGGTCATCATCACATAGAGGGAAGCCAAGAAGAACACGAAGTGGAAGTAGGAATAGCTATAGACGGTGCCTTTCTTCTCATCATAAATGACCCGTGGTCCCTCTTTCACATTCTGCTGCTCTTCAGTGTCTGTGAACCACAAAGCCAGCACGCACTCAATGGGTGAACACATGCACACGGACAGGGTTAGCAAAGCCACACTCACTAATTTCAAGCCCAAGGGCCATTGAACGGAAAAGACGTCAAAAGCGATTTGTGCCCTCAGGCAATTTTCATCTCTGCCCTAAGTCAAAAGCCCCACCCACCCCAGAACCTTGTTAACAGGATGAGTCACCTAATGCCACATTTATTTTAACAGAGCAGAAGATCAGCTTAAATAAAACTGATTTTAAGCTCAGAAGAAAGTGAGAGAGAGGGGCCGGCCCCATGGCCGAGTGGTTAAGTTCACACGCTCTGCTTCAGTGGCCCTGGGGTTTCGCCGGTTCACATCCTGGGCATGGACCTAGCACTGCTCAACAGGCTACACTGAGGTGGCATCTCACACAGAGGAACCAGGATGACCTACAACTATGTACTGGGGCTTTGGGGAGACAAAGGAAAAAAAAAGAAGAAGATGGGCAACAGACGTTAGCTCAGGGCCAATCTTCCTCAAAAAAAAAGAAGAAACTGAGAGACCCAAGCCCCTGGGATCCTCCAATCCAAGAAGAAAGTTGAAGGAAATAAACAGGCCAACAATGAGGTGTCAGGGCCTCTTGGTATTTTCCAAATCATTCCTGTAAAAAATGTACTTCCTGCTTCCCTAAATCTCACTGTATGATTTAACAAATTGGAGCCAAAATATAGACTGATTCTTGCCTGCCAGAACCAACAGGAACAAACAAAACCCAGACACCGCTGGGGAAGAATGTGAAAAGTGTATAAACAGAAAACCGGCTTTGGAATAGAAGTTTCCCCTTGCCGCTTCAGCTATTTGTGTCTGAATCCCAAATGCCTACAGACTAGAGCTACAGGGCTGCAGGGCCGCACGGATGCACGGAAGGAAAGCTCTCCACTTACCCTCTCCGTCGGGGCCGAAGCAAAAGCAACACCGAGCTACCTGGGAAAGCAAAATCAACAGTCAGGTTTGGTTTGTGCTTCTCTGCTTCTCTCCACATCAGTAGGCTCTGAAGGCCGCCCACATACCAAGGCTTCCCCTGTCTGAACTACGTCCCAGGCCCTGAACTGCACGCATCATGCCTTTGGAAGGTTCTGACTAAGCAACTGTTCTCCCTAGATGCTCGAGTGCTGGTAATAGGAAATACAACGGACGTGGAGGGGAGCCACCTGCATCACCTTCACAGGCGCACTCTGAGCGCTCGCTCAGCTACCGTGATTGCTGGGAGCAGACAGAGCCGGAGACCAGCAGCTCCAGGCTTTGCCCCAGCTGCAAACCCTTCCTGGGCAGCCCCACGGAGTGAGTGCTCCCAGCAGGGGTGTAAAGGCCCAGCCGCTGACCCCCGGGCACGGCTCTGCCGGGTCCTATCTGCCCTGGAGCCCCCATGGGGTTAGCGGAGGCCTTGTCCAGCCTGCAGCACCCTTCGACTTTAGCAGCTACCCAATGCTGCCTCCTCTTCGCCCCCTCTTCCCTCCATGTGTGTTGATCCCTAATAAATATCCTGCACATCCTGTGCTCCGTCTCAACCTGAAACACAGAGCGAGCGAGACAAGGTCCTGCTCTCACGAAACCCACTCCTGACGCTCCGCTCTACTCCCTACTCTATTCAATCCCCTTCTACCTAGGAGGCTGGGGCTATTATCCTGTTTACAGTTGAGGAAACTGAGGTCAGGCAGGTTAAATAACTGGACTGAAGTCACAAAACTAGCTTAGTGGCAGGGCTAGGACAGAATGCAGGACGGAAACTCCAAGATCCGTGATTCTCAAGAGACAACATGCATCATGCAGCATCCAGGTGACGGTGGAGCCGCCAGCGTCAGTCCTGGCAAAGCTAAGGGGTCTGGAAGCAGGAGGCCTGGCCTCATTCCTATTAAAATCAGGCTCCTAAACTGCTGCCTCGATGGAGGCAGGGGGGCCGAAAACATGGATGGGTGGGACGCTTTCCTTTGAAGAGTCTTTGGTACATTTCAAATTTCGTACCATGATTCTGACCTACTCAAAACAATAAAGTAAATTAGAAGAGTAACAGGTTATAAAAAGTCACTGCATACTCCAGAAGGACTCTGTTAAACAGAAGAAACACTACATGTATAAAGACAGTCTGGGAAGTGCTGGGTCCTCGGCACTTCTGGCTGATGATATTTCTACTCCAGGGAGCCAGAGACAAGGACACAGGAGCCTGAGGCTTCATCCCATTTATACACCTCAAGGCCAAGCCCCTGTTTCCCTCTTGCGTCAAGGAAACTTGTAATAGAGGGATTGGCCTTGACGGAATCTTGGATCAAGGACACAGTCTAAGATTCACTGATCCACTCAGTAGGCCCAAAGACATGGTGTGCTGGGGTCCTAGTTCTTTTGAAGCTCACGTTACCAAAAGAAACCACTAACTCTTGCTTTCGAAGGTATATCCTGTGAAACGCGATGCGAGGACAGCAAACCCACTTCCGCCCAGCATGCTCTCCAGTTCAGAAGGAAACACTGGGACGTTTTTCCTTGGAATGAGAAGAAAAACATCCTCTCTGAAATCTAGCTGAGAGACTGCCTGTTCTTTGAGCTTTAACTCTGTACACAGTGGGGACACTGAAACCACAGCAGTGCAGCCTCCGCAGGTGGTCACCCAGTCAGTGGTGGGAACAAACGCCTGCCTTCTGGAGACCATTCTCTTCTGCAGAATAGGCAGGAACCTATTAACCTCAGCCCAGTTTTCTCCTTTTTAAGTGACATAAAGAGCTGGTGAATGATGCTGGCAGACTGAGAGCCCTTCATAATGGTTCACTATCTGTAGGTCAGGTGCAGGAAGGACCATCCCCAGAGACCCAGCTGCAGAAAAAAGTGCCATCTCTAGACAAACAGCAGGGCTCTCCCATCCAGGGAAAGTGATTAGAATGCAGCCAGGGCCAATGCCAAGCAGGGTGGGCAGCAGGGCCAGGAGACAGCAGCTGAGCCCTTGGGCAGCAGTGGTAAGGAACAGACTCTGGAGCCAGTGCACAGTTTATATGCTGGCAAATCAAAAGAGTAAATGACTTAATGTTTCTATTTTTTCCTTCTGTAAAATGGAGATAAAACCCTCATTGGGGGGGCCAGCCTGGTGGCACAGCGGTTAAGTTCACGCGCTCCACTTCAGTGGCCCAGGGTCCGCAGATTTGCATCCCTAGGCACCGCTTATCAGGTCATGCTGTGGCAGGCGTCCGACATGAAAAACAGATGAAGATGGGCACAGATGTTAGCTCAGGGCCAGTCTTCCTCAGCAAAAAGAGGAGGGTTGGTGGTGGATGTTAGCTCAGGGCTAATCTTCCTCAAAAAAAAAAAAAGAAGAAAAGAAAAAAAAAACCCTCATTGGGTTTTTATGAGGACTCAAAGAACTCACATACGTAGCACTTAGAAGAGTGCCTGGCACGCAGCAAGTGCTCTAAGTCTTAGGCTTCAGTGGAACCTCCCGTTCTTTCCATTCTTGGGGTCAAGGCTGGGTCTCTTCCTGGCTGCCTCCATCTGATCAGACCTTTTTTGATGGACGTTTGGTGGATGTTCCATTGAGGGCCCCAGAAAAAGACTTTTACACAAGTGAAAAAACAACAGACATCTGCTGACCAATAGGCATCTGCTGACCCCCCTGATTCTTGGGACCCACCCCCCTTTGTTCACAATTCTTTACCCAATGACCGGATGGTTAAACAACCCCATGCATATATCATGCTCAGCAGTGTGGCATAGAGCAAATGCTTGTTCCTTCCCTTCTTCATCTTTCTTTCCTCCTTCAGAACAGCTATCACATAACTTCATGGTCATGCTATGAATGGAGGGCACAGACAGGTATAAAACAGAGGAATGGATGAGAAGTTTAAAAAACCACACATATTCCATTACGACAGAGGAAAAGAGCAGAGAGAAGGCTGACAAAGCTACCCAGGCCTCTGGTGGGAGACGGGCAGCATGACGCCAACAAGAAGAGGCCAATTTTGCTGGAGGAACAAGCCAGGACTCATTTTAATCCCATAGTATATACAGGACATTTCTTTTTCTGTCCAAAAACTGTATTCTCCTTTCCCAAGGAAAAAAATGGGATCATAAAATGCAGATCAATAAAGATGCAAATAAACATAAAAAGGCTTCCTGAAAAATGGGTCTTCTGAGACGAACAGGATGAGAAAAGGAAATGAACTTACTTCCAGTTCAGGAGCTGCATATCGCCCCTGCAGAGCATCAGAACTGGCTCTTGTTGTTGACGTCAAACTAAGAAACAAACAAAAAGGTCAGCAGAGCATATTAACGTGTCATAGCATATGGCAGAAAGGGCAGAGGTGCCTGGCCGGTGCTCCAGGGACAGGCTCACTGTAACCTACAGTTCTGGCTGCTCAAATAAAAGCACAGTCATGAACCGCATCGTAAAGTTTTGGTCAACGACGGACCACATATACAACAGGGTCCCATAAGATTAGCACCACATAGCCTAGGTGTGTAGCAGGCTATACCATCTAGCTTTGTGTAAGTACGCTCTATGATGTTTGCACAACGACAACATCACCTAACGACACATCTTTCAGAGCATGTCCCCATAGTTAAGCAACACACGACTGTAGTCCGTTTTAATATTCCACTTTATTCCAAAACTGGCCGACAGATTCTACAGTTGATGTCCTTTTATATGGACTGCATTAGATCATTTTATGCAAAGAGAGGTTTGTAGGTAAAGAAATAAGATGTCTTTTGGTCCTATGATCTTGACTTTCACTATTGTTTTTTGCCTCTCCTCCCCCAAATGCCAAAAGAATTTTCTGATTTCACTTTTACTTTCCCCTCCCTCTGACTTGTCGCACGAAAGCAATGAAAGAACCCAGAGATGGCAATAAAAACCAATGGCCCGAAAAGCAGAGCTTATAGTTATTTACTGTGCAATCAGCCTACGGGAGAACAAGGTTTTCTGTTGGGAAATTTAACACCGAGTAGGTGTCAGTACGTTAAAAAAATTTCTTTCCCCCACACTCCCCATACCTAGAGAGGTACAATGCTATAAAATTTGGCTTACAGGGGTAAGAAAGGTATTTCTTTTCCCTGCAAAAAAACAGGGGTGGGGGGACATTTTAAGCAAATAGAAATACATACGATACTTAGAGTTCCAACTAAATGTACAGGTTCATTTAGCGAATATTTACTGAAGGTCTGCCATGTGTCAGGCCCTGCTCCAAGCACTGGCGACTCCGAAAAAGACCAGTGAGGCAGCAGCAGGTGCTGGCTAGTGCAGGGGCAGGAATTAATCAACTCATTTCAACCAAATAAACCACGTGGGGCAACACTGCCTCCTCTGCCCATTCTCCTCCCCTTTTGATCAATGAGATGTAAATAAACAATAATAACCCTTCCTCACAAAAAGGCCCTCTGGGATCCAAGCACATTGCTTCTTCTGCGGTTCACTCAAGTCCAATAAGCATCACTTTCACTTCTGCTGTGAACAGATGGATGCTAATGCAGGCCCACTCCACTCCCACTTCCCAACTTTGAGCCTAGTCAGAGCAATGACAGAAACATTTCTTGAGGGTTGTGCGCCCAAGAAACACATACACCTTGCTCCTGAATTTAAGAGTGCACTATATTTTGTGCATATGAATTATGATTTAATACAGTATATACTTTCCATGGGGGAAAATGGAATTCTTAATTTTAGGAAGAGATTAGTATCTGGAATTTTCATCTGAAAGATGATAATCATTCTTTAAAGAGTTAGAATAAATATTTCACTTTATAAATTCTTTGGAATAAAATGGTTTCAGAAAAACAAACTTGATCCTGGCACCTTTGCCATTTCACCTCCACCATCACAGAGCAGTGAATGGGGAAGTGTTCACTCTTACTTCTAAACATATCTATATTCAGTTAATCATCAGTGATATGTGACTTCTACAAGTAGATGTTTCTGAAAAATAAGGTCTTTATTCAGTCATGGCCTTGCCCTGCGAAACACTCTTGGAATTACCAAGAAAATACCATTTTTACAAGCTCTTAAAAGGCATAGGAAATCTTACTGTCTGCATTCTGGCTGTTACTGACCCATCTGTCTGGTCAGCACAAGACAAGTTACTATAAAGCAATTCCTGGATCATCCATAATCCCTTCTCTTCCGGAGCTAAGGTATGAATGACTTTAACCCAGTTCTTCCTGTGGGGTGGATGCACACCAACAGCATTTGGTTGAGACAATGCTTCACCGTACAGAGAATGCTGAATGTACCGAGCACGTGTACTATCTCTGGCCTCTACTCACAGAAAACCAGTGGTGCCTCACGTTCTGTGACGACCAACCCGATATGCACTGTGGTGCCCAGAACCTCTTCCACACTGGCAGAGAGATGTGAAACGCAGGTGGCCCCTCCGTGCCTGCTTCAGTTGCTTTTAGAACCGGCCAAACTCCCCTAGATTACAGAAAATCTTGGAAAACCATGTCCAGACTTTCCTACTGGAGACCACAGATTCTGCCTCCCTGACAGATCCCTTGACTGTCCCCAGCCTTCATGTGGTGAAGTTCAATTATGTCCCTGGTGTAGCATATAATTGGTAACTCATAGCTCCCAAAGGAGATCAGAGTTCTATGTGAGCTGGGGGCTGGCTCCAACATGTCCCCTGAGGGACACAGAGCCATGAAGGTTTCTAGCTGGTAGGTTAGGGAATGGTGGGAATCCCAAAATAAAGACACAGCCCCCTCCCTTTTTTCTTAAATAAGAGTAGCAGACCCAGAACACACCAAAAGAATAGATACTCTCCTTGATTTGCCAACTTTTCTCAGTTTAAGCTAATCTTCTCTCCAATGCCATCTTACCAAACTTGTACCTATTTCACATGGTCTGCCACATTGCTATGAATGTCCCATTTTGAACTAGCAAATTGTTTGACATTTTATAAAGATTCTTCGTTTTTCTAATTTTGTATTTAAATTCTTAGACAGCTTAAATAATATACACTTCTACGCACAGCTAAAACTGCAGTAGCCAGGGAATATTTTTCAGCACAAACGCCTCCTAATAATATAACATGTGAGTCATCCAGCTTATCTTTCCACCTCAGTGAAGACTCTACCTTACTCCAAGTCATCCCAGGGGGAAAAAATGACCTGTCTCTCCAAATACTCCAGCAAAGGAGACTTGAGGAAAGGTTTCCTGAAATTAGGGGTAGAGAGCTACAGAAGAGGCTCCATGCCCCAGTTTCCTTTTATGTACAATGAGGGGATTGAACTTGATTGATTCCTGGATCCTGTCCAGGCTGGCAGTTTGAACTTGAAGCCAACAGAATAACAATTTCGATCAAAATCCAGAGACCAAGGAGGGAATTAAGGAATAGCTGGAGGAGGCTGGGGCCTGTCACAGCAAGGATCCACGCCTAAGGGCTGTGGCGGAATCGGCCTATAGAAGGAGCCCTTGGGGAACTCGTGCATGGGGTCCAAGTTGAGACGCTTCTTCACAGCAGTAATGCCTGGGTACAGTAGAAGGGGCTTCTGGAGCAAGGGTGGCCCCAGTAGGAAAGTCAGGCAGTAGGCTTTGGCTAAGCCCTCCTTCCAAGCTGAGACAGCGAAGTGTAAAACATGCTCACAGCGAGTGTGCCAGGAGCAGGACTTGGGACAGAAAACCAGAAACTGAGGATGGAGGTCATCATGAAAGGCCCCTAAAGAAGTATACGTGTGTGTGTGTTGGGGGGTGCTTAGGGAGGACTCCAGAGTGTTGAGAAGATAGCACACTGAGCTTTCTGTGACCTTACAGAAAAGTCAGCCCCAGGCCATCTTGGACTTCATTGAAAATGGGTGATTTCTTTACCGTTTACTGTACACATTATCCAGTCTTTTTGGCTTCCTACAGTTTCCATCAAGACTTCTAGATATTCCTGCAATCGTGTTCAAATGACAGTTTCCACCCAGCCTCTTTTTGTAACATCTTCCAAGCTTTCATTCCTCTGAGTCTGGGAGGAAGAGGTAAACTCTAGGAGCCAGGATTTGAAACCTCCTCGTCAGGCCGCCTCCCACTCCAGCAGTCTTCAAGTCGCTACAGGCCTGAACTCCCTTCCCTGTGAGCTCCAAGACGCGCAGTTATGAAGTTCTCTGAGCTGACTCCTCTCGGAGCGGCAGCGGACAATCACAGCAACCGTCAACCTGCGGACCCCGGCACGCCTGTCACTGACTCCTGGGAAGACCCAGCTGCCATGGCCAGGGAGTGTGTTCAGGCCACATGTCACACAAACACCCCCAGCTAGCTGGTCTCTCCTCCTCTCCACTCAGTGCGGCTGCTGTTTTCCATCTCCTCGTGCCATCGGGCACCAACGGTTTTGCAGTTTAATGACCAGCCTTCAATAATGTCTGCTGTTGGCATTTAGACAGCGTTTAAGTAGCATCTGTCAGCTTTGAAAATTGTTATCATTTGGGAACATCAGACTAAACCATACCAACCTCCACCAGGGTACCTCTACATTCTGGAAGAGGCACTGTCTTATTTACCATCTTTCACTCAAAAGCAGCAGCGAAAATCTGATCGAGTGAAAACTCCATGCTGCAAAGTAACGACATCTATAGCAATTCTATCAGCCTACCAAGCATAATTTTTGCCACCTTTCCATTGATGGATTTATAGCAAATCCAAGCTCTGTTTTATCTGAGGGGCAAACATTTTTTCCATGTGCTATTAGGAGTCCAGCAAACTACAAAAACATATGATTTTATTCTGTCAAGTTATCTTTATAGCTTTTTTTTTTTACTGATAATACAAAAACAAACAAGAAATCCTAGCTCACTGTAAAAATAATCTTTAAAGGAAAAAACAGAAGAACAAGAGAAAAACAATAATTTATCCCTAACACCACCATTATTACAAGTTTGGTTTATCTCCTTCCAAGATTTTTTTCTGTATATGTAAACACAAGTATATTTTATTTTAAAAATGGGATATTCTGTATTTACAATTTAGTATCCTACTTTCTCCTCACTTGATTTACCAATTTTTCTTACCTACCAATACATTAAAAAACTGAGTGACCAATAACATTAGCCACATTGCTGCCAAAGCCCAACATTATCAGATTCAGCAAAGAAAAGCTGACTCAAGAAAGAAGACCTGAGAATCAGGATTCAAAATTTGGGCCTTTATGGTGGTTTGCTGAAAGCATTCATTGACTTGGGCCCAAATCTCATTCGCTGCTTTGTATATAGCAGATACTCAGTGGACAATTACGGAATTAGTAAAAATGAAGGCCAGAAATTGGTCACGACGCTCCCTTCTGCTGCAACAAGGAGAAACTGTCACTATGTCAGAAAGAGACTGAGAATCACTCTAACAACCACCTGAACACAGCAAGCAGTCCATGGCTTCATGCATGACTCTGAACAAGTACTTCATAAAACTCAGCTCTCCTGTCTCTAAGATGCATATGTCTGCTGGCCCCTTTCTAGCCTTAGCGGGTGTCAGAAGCTATAACAGAAAACACCAACGTGCTCAGAAAGACACTTATTTTATTTATACAAGCTATCGTCACCAAGATTGTTTAGTTTTAGCCAAAGGAAGATCATAATGTGCCTACGACAAGTTGAAATTTTTATGCGCTGAAACACAACACACAAAATCTAAAACACAGAAGGAAAACCTAAACATGAAAAGGTGACTGTCAAAGGGAAGTTTAGTTATCAGTGAAATCTATACCCAGAATAAGAAACTCACCATTTCTATCCTTTTCTACCCCTCTAGCAATCTGTGAAACATCTTAAAGGTGGCGTCGACCCCATCATAAGCGTCTGAAATGTCATATGTACTTTGGAGGAGCTGCCTCCCCTCCTTAACAGCATTGTGGGTTTTACAGAAAATAGAAGGGACATTTCCTGTCTTTCTTGGACCAAGCACAAAACGGCCCTGTATGTAGGACTTTGTACTCTTTCCATCAACAGCAGAACAAATGGTATTTCCCTTGGATTAGAAACTTGCCAAAACATTCTGGCTCATACCATCTCTTCCTCACTTTGTGCTCCTTTGCCCTCCAATAATGCTTTTTAAGCTAGTAATATCCAACTGTCTTTCAGAGGGTGGCAACGTACCAGGAATTTATTTTATTTACCCCATATAAATACAAGTAAGGCAAATGAAGTCCCAACACCTAGATTTCAGGGGGTAAGACTACCTTTGTACTTCAGGCTATTTTCCCTCTTCCTCAGATGGTATTTGTTTTGCTGCCTCACAGCTGCTGAAACTTATTTAAATTCTTCTCCTGTACTTTTAAAGTCTGCAAAGACGGCCTCGGGTAACTCCGAAGACTTACCATGAATATAAGATGCACGCAATTAAGAGAGTGGTACCCAGTCCAGTAACCAAGTTTTCATCTCTGTACAGGTCCTGACCAAAGTCAGGCACACAGATCGTAACGTTCTTCCCACGGTCATCTAGAACTTGTAAAGAAAAGACAAAGTGATCACAGTCAGTTAGAAAAGGCTGTGGTAACTCACAGATGCATTCATTTTGGGAAAATTCAGCTAACTTAGAACAGTGAAGATTTATCATTGGGAACATCCACTCCACAGTCTAACCCGATTCAGACTACACTGCTGCTATCGCAAAGCACCCCTCTCCCATCTCAGCACCCTCTTAGAACAAGACCCTCAGAGTCCAGCTTAGCGCTAAAGGGTTCTTCAGTTCCAGGACCTTCTAAGAGTTGTGCTCTTTTTCAGCACTATTTAAACAATAGAGAAGAGTAAACTTGGATCCATCCATCAGCTGATGCGGCAGCCTCTGAACAGAGGTAGTGTGCAGACAATTGAGAGCGTCCTCCACATCTGTCCTGTCTGCAGGAGTGTCCAGGCTACTCCAAACCAAACAGGTACCAGCAGCAGAAGAGCCGTCTAGCCGACGGCCTCCATCCAGACGAGAAGTCGTGTTACCGTCAGTAACAGGATGGTCATCACATCTTTCAGGCTGCACCCTGGGAACCTCAGATAGGGTCTGTTTTTTTTAAAAACTTTGAGAGGCTCCATAACCAAGGTTTCTGTAACATGACCATCAGCGGTACTTTACTTTTTATCTAACACAGAGTCTTCAATTTTGAACAAACAAGCTAGGTCTGATTGCCAACTGTGCCCCAAAATAAAGAACAGAAACATAAAATAACAGTCTAGAAACCATTTTACAAACCAGTGCGGTCTAAGTGTTTCAAGTTGGACTAAAATTATCATTGGTCTTCGCACTTGAAACAGTAAACACAACTGTGTAGGCTGTGGTTAGGGACTCTCTATTCTTAGGCCAATGAAAAATGTTTTTTAAAAAATTGACCAAAATATGAACTTTGCTATTTAAGCAGTGCCACCAGAAATTAAAAATAGAAGTTTTTTTCTGTTTTTAAGTGATACCTGCCATTAAAAAAACAACTTGTAAACAAAAACCCCATTAAATTAAAACCAGAGATTAGTACAGAAACAGTCATAAAAGAAAGTCTCAGAGAGACAAGATTTAAATAAAGCTACAGAGCCATGAAAGAGCTTTTTTTAAAAAAATTCTATCCAGGATAGACTATAATTAATATAAGACCTACAATTATATCTCTCTGCACTGTAAACGGCTAGAAAGACGAGACCCATACAAAGTATGTGTATACGCTAAAGCTTTCAAAATCATCTTTGCATTTGCTTTCTAAATTTAAAAAAGAAAAACTTCACGTTTCTAGTTTAGAGAAAAGAGTACATTTATTTAACTCGATTTATATAAGACCAAATGCACCCAAACGTGCACACATTTAAATACACTTACGTGTATATATATATGTGCGTGTGTATACATTTATATATCACAAAAGTGATAAACATGATGAAATACGACGAGCTTGGAGGTTAAAATAAGAAAATTTGGTCTTTTACTGGCAAGGCTCTAGGGCTCATACGACGCCACCTTAGAACATAATAGCGCTTTTCCAGTCTCCAGTACCCACGGCCACTGGTCTGCAAGAATAAAAGCTAACCCTTGTATAGCACCCACTACGTGCCAGGAACAGTACTTCCATATACCTATACACAACACTGAATGCCTAATAAACCACTTTATGAAATAGGAATCTTATTTAATTATCCGATTAAAATAATAATTAAAATTCTTATTTTAAAGGTGAGGTGTCTAGGCCAAGAAAGCTAAGTAACTTTGTAGAGTTACTCAAGTGGCAGAACCAGGCTACAAACGCAGGCAGTCTGCCTCTGAAGCTCATGCATATGCTGTTGTCTCTATAAATAAGCATCATTTAAGACAGCGATTCAAGGCCACAGTGCCGGCAGAGAGTGGAGCCAGGCTCAAACCCGGTCTCCTGCTTCCCGCTCCAATGTTCTTTCCATTCTCTATTACAGTCATAGAAATGGCCACCTGAAGAAAGGTAAATTAATAACCAGCTGAAAACAAAAGCAAATAAACAAAGCACAACACAAATGTTCCTTGAAAACACAGAGCAGGAAAATGAAGATCAGGCCTCGAGGCAATCTCAACAGCCCACCGCTGGCCAAGCCTTTCCTTCACAGCAGGAAGACTCAAAAGAAGGAATTTTCATGACCATATCCCCCCTTAAGGACTTTATTTAATGAAAAAGTCTAGATCTCTCTGTTTTGATTTATTGCAACCCAGGGGCTGAAGCTCAGTCAAGAGCACGTGCTTGGCATGCGTGAGGCCTTGGGTTCAACTTCCGGCACCTCCAACCATTCATTACTCAGCCTTCAACGCCATCCTGGAGAAACACAGGCTCAGCTTGATTTACTGCATCCCTGATGTTAAACAATACCTCACAGAGACATATTTCTTCCTCCACAAACGAAAATATTCATATTGCAAGCACACGCTCCCTAACAAGGCTGGCTTACCTAATTCTACAGGTTTGCTGGACAGAGCTGAGAAAGTGAGGTACGTGACATAGCAGCTTATGAGACCGGACTGTAGTAAGCCAGAGTTCGGCTGTCCTGGAAAATGATAAGAGACAGATTTTAAGACAGTGTTTTAAATTTCAACGATAAGAAAGCAGTACCAAAAAAAAAAATAGGTGTCCTCATCCTCAAATGACATTCCCCAAACTTGGACCTCCACCTTCAAAGGAAAGAAGAGTACATAATGTGTTTCTCAGATAACAGTAAAAAGACATGAGGGGGAGAGACCTGTACACTGAGCCTAACTGCTATGGTAGGGACGACAAGTTCTGCCAAGTTCTCTACCAACAGCTTATTTTGATAATAACTATGGCTGTACTTAAACACACTGCCTGTTCCCCCCGAGGTTCAGAACGTTAGTTCTTAAATCAGACGATCTCAGAAGAAAATGTGCTATCATTATTTGTGAGATCACAAAGCTTAGGGGGGTAAATGACAGATTTCATAGGTCATGGATTCCAGATTCCACAAGGTCATCAGACACTTAAAGGCCATGACAGTGGAAAAAAGCTCTTATCTGTCAATGGACTAAAACCTTTGGGAATACCAGAGTTGGCCCAGGCCCAAGAGGAAGGCGAGGGGGCTCAGCATTCACTGGGAGAAGGGCTTTAATGTTACGATATTTAAATTAAACTAAGTGTTTGGATCCTTGAGAGCAATCAGGATGTGATAAAAGGAATTTATCTTTTTTTGGTGAAATTTTCAACCACCTGCTGACATGAAAGGATTCAGTTTTACCCCATCTTCCCTCTGGTTAAATTTGTTTCCACAATTAAAATTATTAAGTTATACAGTGATCAATAAAGGTACAGAAATAGACCCTTTTATAAAGTTGCTCTTTGGCATGGGAATAAGATTTACCTCAGCAACTAACGGCATTAAATGAAATACTTCAAAATATTATTACTATTTCAAAAGCTATGATTTAATCCAAAGGATATTTTAATCTGAATACTAATAACATTTTAGGAAATTCTTAACTGACCAATTAAAGGGATTGGGATAATACTACTCTCAATTTCAGTAATGGACTTGAAATTTTTAGTACAGAAAAACTGTTAAATTATTCAATACTAGCAGCCTTTTTAAATCACCATTTTAGAAAGCATTCAAGGATCTATACCTTTTTGGCCATATTTTCCTTTTCCTCTCTAGAAACCTGAATGTCGTGCATTTTCATCACCTGTAGAGAAAGACGCCTACAAAAGACCTACAGATACCCACATTTCCCTGCGGAGTGAGAGACCTACACTGGACCAGGGAGGGACATTTCTCTCTACAACCAAAGACGGCATGCCGGCTTCAGATACCAGAAGTCATTTATAAAAGACAATCTACACCTACGCTTTCTAAAGCACTTTCAAATCCTATCGTCTCTTCCTTTTGGCTTTGAAACCACCATGAGCAAGGTGAGGCTCACAGGTATTCTGTTGACTTTGCTGAGGAAGGAACTGGGTCTGAGGAAGATTAGCTCATGGGCCCAGCTGCTGGCTGAGCTGGGATTGGATTTCCTGCTTCCTGACTCCTAGATCACACCGTCCCTGATTTCTGGGCCACAGGCTTTGAGTGAAAGCTGAGCCCAGAAACAGCTCCTTCCGGAGACTTCTCATTCAAGTTTTACACAGAGATTGTAGAGAAGTTTATATACACTAAGGGCATTTTCCATTTAAACGCTCCTTATGGTACATGACTGAACAACGGCAATGTCTATCTCCTATTTATTGAGTTCATCACGTTTAGATCTTTCCTGATGTGAGGCACGCTTGACTATCACATTCAGTGTGGGATATGAAGAGGAGACTGGAATCCCACCTTTCCTATTGCTGACCCATCCACAGCAAGCTAGGGAATGACCATAATTTAAAAAAAAAAAATGGATTTGCTCAGACACGTATAAATAAGGAAGAAGAGAAAAAACTGTGCTTACGATTTTGGACACAGGGCAAGATGGCTACCAGTGAAATAAGCAGACACAGGCCTCCATTTGCCCCCAGGAGAATTTTGTTTTCCACGCAGCCGTCTTTCTGTGTATAAAACACTGCCATCAAAATGAAGCCTCCGGCGGCAATGGAGTACATGACGAGCGTCACCAGGGCCAGAGAGGCGTACCACAGCTTGTTGCTGGCTGTGCCTGCAGTCCTGTTTCTCCAGGAAGTGGGTGACAGGGAGGGGAGAGAAGACAAGTCAGTGAAGCCCCCCACAGCTTCTCTGACAACACCTACCATCCCCAAGGCATGGACTAATGCCATCAGGCCCCAGGCCACCATAACCAAGTTCTTCAGGAGACCTGTCACTTTACCAGTGATGATGCTCCATCGAAGCTGGGGGGTACAAGTAAATATGCTAAAACTTCTCGTTTCAAGCTTAGAATTTTTTTCTAAACACTAAAAGAATTCCGTTTTTGACTCAAGTGTATTCATCAACTAAATTAATATCCACAGACTTTATTCCAGCTTCCCCAGTCTGAATGTGAATTAGCCTGGGACAGGTTTTGGGCGTATTGGAAAGTGGCTCTTTGCTGGAGTTCTCTCAAGTTTTCCCTATAAACACAGAGCCTGGAGCCGCCACTGCTTCTCACTGGAAGTGCCGCCGGCAGCTCCTGCTGATGCCCATCCTCTCGTTAACTTCCCCCAGAGAAAGCCTGGCTGACCTCAGCTCTTTTATCTCTGCCCTGAAAAGGATCTGTAATAGCACTCCTTCTCCAAAACAACACCAAGTATGACTAAGGAAGAAGTTGACATTTAAAAAGTGGAGAATAGGGCCGGCCCTGTGGTCTAGTGGTTAAGTTCAACGTGCTCCGCTTCAGCGGCCTGGGTTTGGCTCCCAGGCGCAGACCTACACCACTTGTCAGCGGCCATGCTGTGGTGGCAACCCACATACAAAATGGAGGAAGACTGGCAAAGATGTTAGCTGTGGGTTAATTGTCCTCAAGCAAAAAAAAGAGGAGGACTGGCAACTAATGTTAGCTCAGGGCTAATCTTCCTCAGCAAAAAAAAAAAAAAAAAAGAGAGAGAGAGAATAAAATCAGCCAGAAAGAGAGTAAAAATTTTAATGGGATTTACAATAAAGAATCTTAAAGAAGAGACTAATGTGCTTTCTAGTTTATATAAATATTAATAAGGGGATGGAAGAAACAAGTGGTGGTTTAACTATAGAAATTGTTCAGAACAAAGAGAAGAGTGTTTATAAACGCTAAGTGAAGAGACAGAACAACAATAGGGAACAGGGACTGAATCACTGTCATCTGCCTCATGAGTAAATTGCCCTTTGTAACCACATTCTCACAGAGCTTCACAGAGAAAGCAACTTAATGTTCCACAAAACTGGAAAGTGTTCAAGAAACCCAGCTAAAATGTTTTAATGATGAAAAAGTTACTGCAGCCAGAGACAAAGACAATAGGGAGGAAAGGCCAAAATGATAATGACCATCATATTCCCGAAACCAAGCCAGCACTCCAATGACCACAGAATTATTCTACAAAAGGCACAAAAAGGGAAAATGAGAGAAAATGAGACTCAAGAAAGAAAAAAAATCCAAAAGCCAAATAGCAATGGATGACAGACAGAATGCATTATACAGAAAAAGGTAAACAGCCCTGACAATGTGCGAGCGGGGTCCAACCGCTTCTTCACTAGTCTTTTGGGTTATGCTGTGAGCGTATGAAGGACTTTCCTACAGTCAATTTATGCTTCTATACCCAAGGCTAAATCTCAAACCCTAACCTCTGCCCTCAACCCCAGACTCCTGTCACCCAACTGTTCAAGGTCTCCACTTGGCGGTCCCATGGGCATGTCACACTCAGCAGGTCCCAAGGAACTCCCCAACCTTCACACTTCCATGCCCCAAATCTGCTTTTCTTCATCTTCCCAACCCCAGAAAACGGCAATTGCATTCTTCCCTTTGGTGGGAGAGGAAGGGAACACAAAGAGAAGAACTGAGGCCGCTCTTGGTTGCTGTCTTTCCCTCCCCCCGCTCCCCCTCCCCCGCCATCAGCAAACCCTACCAGTTCCAACTGCAGAGGAAATCCCAGTCTGACTCCCGCTACCATCCGGCTCCAAGCGACAGCCATCTCTCACCTGGATTATCTCCCTCCTTACCCGCACTTCTGACTCCCTCTAATCTTTTCCGGACTTAACACATACGTCACGTTCCTCCTGTTTCAAAACCCTCTGATGCCCTTCCATATCACAGGACGGTGGCAGAAGCCCTGCATGATCTGGCCCAGCACCATCTGATTCCATCTCTTGCACTCACCCCTCACCACTGGGGTCCAGCCACAGCCCACAGCCCTCTGCTCCTTCAATAAGCCAGGCACGGGCACAGCGCCGTCCTGCCTCGAGCTCTCCCCACCTCCTGCCCTCGCCCCTTACCATGAAGCCTCTCTGCTCTGCCTTCAACCCCCACACCCAGCTTTCTTTGTCTCCAGAGCTCTTGTCACCATTGAACCTGTTACTTCTTTGCTTGATTATAAACTGATTATCTATCCACGTCTCCCCAGCCCCCAGCAGAAGAAAGTGAGCTCCACACACCCAGCAGGACGGAGTCGCGTCCACAGCTGTTCTCCTGTCTAGCGCCTGGCAAACAACAGGTGTTTAACGAACCAGGACTGGCGCAAGGACTGTCAACTGTTAAAAAATAACTTCATGCAGCAATGAGGGCGGCGTGGCTGCTGTTCCCGCTGCTCCAGATTCGCCTGGTCCTCCTGATGACATCCTGTTTTTACAGACACCCCAAATATGTGCCGTGACTTATTCATCTTTATACTCTCAGCGCCCACCACACTGTCTGGAACACAGTCAATACTCCAAAAATTGAGAATACATGCTAAACGGAAAGCCCTCGGACGGAGATTAGAAAAGGCCCAGGCAGCAGAGGCAAGGGCCCGGACACAGCCGGAAGCAGGCACCAGGCTGGAGTGCTGGCCGGGCTTGGGCCTAGGCTGATGGTCGGGAGGGAATAAAACCCAGCAACAACATGAGGTGACAATCTAGTCCATTTAGAAAACGGGTCCTCACCAGAAGCACCTGAGGATACCACCTACTTTTTATTTCAATTTTCACGTAGAAGTGACACTTCAAATCACAAAATTTGAGCTAGAAAGAAAAAAACACATTAAACATCTAGTCCAACCACATCACTTTACAGGCGTGAAAACAGGTCAGAGAGGCCAAGTGATTTACCCAAAGTGAAACAGCAAGCAGCGTCCCGGTCTCCAGGCCCACACCTTTCCAGCCCACTGCCTTCAGGATTTTCTGCTTCTCAGGATGTTTAAGAAAAGGGAAGAAAAAGAACTTTGGCTGTTCCATGAAGAGTGAGATGAGTATTGTATTTTCTAGCTAAGCTTGTAAGCAAAAGTCTCTGTTAAAACACACAGCAAAAAAACCTATTAAATTAGAGGAATCTATCCGAAAATAACAATATTAGTGAGCTTCCTAGCTCAGTCCTAACTTTAGGAAGACAAGTCAACTATGAACACGCTGACAAAAGGGATTTCGTTGGTATTTGGCCTCAAAGCCCAGACAACAGCAACATCATTTGTTGCAAAGCTCTTAAGCCATTCTTACTGAGTGGTTTCTGGAAAGTTTTTAAAGAAACCAAAGTCTTCCAGAATGCCTGTTAAAACTTGGCACCAAAAATCAGTCCCAGAAAATGGCTTCAGAATCAATCAAAACATTAAAGTCAAGAGTGAAGACACACAAGTATCCTCAAGAGAACGGACCATTTAATGGGCAGATCAGGCACTCAGTATCAAAGATGCTAACATTTTACCATGAAGTTCTCCTCTATTTTGAAGTATATTTGTGAAAATTTTAGGATGACGTATTTACTTTGTCTAATGAAAAATTCAGAAAGTACATTAAGTACATGAAAGTACAGTAAGAATTATCATAGAAAGAATGATAATTAAATTAATATCATTAAAAGGCATTTCTAACTCTTTGAGGGTATTTCTTCTGCACTTCTGAGAAAATAGGATCCCATACAAGAGAGTCTTATATGACTTCTCTTTAGGAAAACTCCCCTGACTCAAAATAAGATCTAGTGGAGACCACAAACACAAATCACGGGGTTTCAAGGATGGCTCAAAAAGCAGGACAGCATGCAATCCTTTACACAGGAGCATAACTCAGACCTTGAAATGTGTCATTGAAGAGATTGAGACTTGAAGAAATACCAAAACACATCTGGAGTGCTATTTGTATGACTATTCAACATGCCATAAACATTTCAAAAATAGGCTGTAAGCATTTGGGTGCTTACTCCAATATTTACCAAATAATAAAATGACTAACATTATCCTTTCACTCATGCATCTCATGATTTGATTTTTTTTTTAAGATTTTTTTTTTTTTCCTTTTTCTCCCCAAAGCCCCCCAGTACATAGTTGTATATTCTTCGTTGTGGGTCCTTCTGGTTGTGGCATGTGGGAAGCTGCCTCAGCGTGGTTTGATGAACAGTGCCATGTCCGGGCCCAGGATTCGAACCAACGAAACACTGGGCCGCCTGCAGCGGAGCGCGCAAACTTAACCACTCGGCCACGGGGCCAGCCCCCATGATTTGATTTTTTAAAAACAAAATCAAAATGAAACAGAAGCTACTACCACCAAACTGAGGAACATAATCAGAACGAAAAGTATTTTGAGAGAATTTGGACAGTACATTTGGTTTTGTCCAAGATAAAAAAAAAATTCACATTCGTATAGTACTTTCTGATTTTTTTTCCCAAAACAGTATAAAATAAGATTAATGCCTATAAAATCTACAAAATAACAAAGGCCTTACTGGGGACAACAGGCAGCTATTTTCATTCCTATTTTGTAAGTAAGTGAGACGGAGAGCAGCCAAGGGCTTTGCCCGCAGCCACACAGAGTCTGGACCCTCGTCTAGCTGTCATTTCCTCAGTGTGGCCCAGCAAGAAATAAAACCAGCTCTTAAGAGTCTGGCATTTCCTACTTATCCTGGGATGTGAATTCTCCTTTCAAGGCACTGAGAAAGTCTGTATTTTTAAAAGTCAGGAGGGCTTTCCAAAGCAGCACACACACCTTCCTAAGGAAAGCGTCCTTCCACTCCCAGGCAGGTGAGAAGGAACAAACGTTTCTTTAAAGTAGAGAACTCTTCCATGGCACGTTCTTTGCAGAAATGAACCTCAGCTCCAAAGCACTTTGTTTTAATCTCCTAAGGCTGGGCGCCCGGGAGAAAGCCCACGCAGGTTTTCAGCCACCACCACAACGGGAGAGCTGGCACCGAAAGGCACCAGCAATAGGGTTGAGTGAGGCTGTCACATCAGTGATTGACTTAGAGCCCAAATGACAGAGTGTGGGGGAAAAGAGAGCTAAAAAGTGAAAAGAAACGAAGTGAAAGAAGGAAAGGTAGAAAGGAGAGAAAAACAGTATGGGAGAGGAGTGAATGAAGAGGTCCCAGGAGCAGGGGCGGAGGCAAGGTGCCAGCATAAGCTGTTTTAGGTGTGTGCAGGCTGCCGACCCCTGCAGTGCAAATCAGAGCACAGCTTTATCAACACCGTTCCACCGGCGGCTTCTCTGAGTCAGGCAGTGGGTCCACCGGAAGTTTTCCATAAAGGCACATACCAGTTTTTGTTCCATTTATGTGCAAACTCCACGAGCAGGATGAGCTGGATGCCTATAAAGATGAAGGCTCCGATGGCCCCCACATAGCGCCAGGCTGCAAAAGAAGACCATCCAGAAGGAGATGAGGTGATTGTGCCAAGCGTTTAGCTCAAAAGAGAGTAACGACTACAGTTCATTTTTACTGCATGCTGACAGTACCTACAACACATTTAATTCCCACACGATCATCAGTTGGGTACTATTATACCCACTTTACAGAGGAGAAAAACTGAGTCTATGTAAATCCACAAAGTCCTGGAGCCAGTAAAGGATGCAGCTGGGACGTGAACACAGGCAGCCTGGCTCTGGAGCACCCAAGCTTAACCTCCATGCTCTCACTGCCAGATATCTTAACAGAGGCAGTAATTCACAAAATCAATGAGGACCCACAATTTAAAAGTAAAAACACACACTGCCAGAAAAATCAAGGGTTCAAATTTTATTGGATAGGGAGCCACCAACATCTGTGAGGAAATGAGGTTCCGACTTGGGACCAGGCACTCAGATCCTACTTCTGGCTCTGCTACAAAAAAGCGCTAACCTTGGATGTGCCACGTCACATCTCTGGGCTGCAGCCTGTATATAAAGGTGACTGAGCTGGACTAGACCTTTCCCGTTCTAAATCTATTATTCTAATACATAAAAGTAGGTCTGTGGGGAATAGAAAAACAGCAAGCAGCATTTCAGGTAAAAATGAGACTGGGGCATGACTTCCTTAAGGAACAGATAAAACCAGTATGACTCTGAAAACTGGTCGGACCCCAACATGTGACTGTCAGAGGGACTCCGATGGCTCCCTGTGGACTGACGCAAGGCGACTGTTCTACTGTCTTAATTAGGAAAGTGAATCCATTTGGTTTGAACAGTGTTTGGAACTGCTGAAATTCAGGCTTTTTTTCTCCCTAGTTCATATGAAGAAGGGCGCCCTGTTTCGGCTGATTTAAGGCTTCACATTAAACCAATTTTGGTAGGTTCTATCAATAAGGAATATAACTCTGTGTGACACGGTTTCACATCAGGTAGGTTTAGAAGTAGACTGGAGGATGCCTTTTCGATCCCATGACAGCTGCCGCAGGTTTAGAGCCGCTCAGAGGCCATGTACTTGTTGTCCCCGGCTCTTCCGGGCAGTGCTCAGAGAGAACAAGGTCTCCCCTGCCTCTTCACTCATGGCTGACATGCTAAACCGGTTTGCAAACAAATGTTAAGTGCCTCATTTTCCTTTCAGGCCAATAACCTTAAAATCATCATTTCAATCTTCAGCCCACAGACTAATCAAAGGTCTTCTCACCTCCCTGGAGGAGGTGAGGCAGAAGAGGGTGTGGGGAAGGAGGGGCCCGGGGTAGATAAAGTATGGGCAGGTAAGGCAGGAATTTTTTTTGCTGAGGAAGATTAGCCCTGGGCTAATATCTGTGCCAATCTTCCCCCACTTTATAAGTGGGTTGCCGCCACAGCATGGCTGATGAGTGGAGTAGGTCTGCACCTAGGAACCAAACCCACGAACTCAGGCCACCAAAGTGGAGCAGGCTGAACTCAACCACTACACCATGGGGCTGGCGCCAGGAATGTGTTTTTGAGCCATAAGAAAATCAGTAATTCAAAATATCAAACGCACCCTGGACTACGCTTTTGAATAATTTCACAAAATGGGTAAAGACAAAATAGGTACCCAAAATACCCCATTTTTACCATTCAGAAAGGTCTCCTGATCTGGAATGAAGAAAGCTCCTGAGCACATGGCCCCCAACAGCAGAAGTTTGAAGAACCAAAAGCTGGAAGGAAACCAAAAGGGGGAAATGTATTTAAATGATATTCAAGGAAGGACAAAAGGCCTCTTAGAAGGTAAGCATGTCAATCCACGATTCTGCCACTGGCAGTGTTCTCTCCAAATCGAGGGGAAGTAATTAAGTGACTGGAGACTGCCTTTTCCTAATTATACAGACTCAGCGTGGCCTTGGACTGTGCAAAACACCATTTTGTTGCAGGGGAGGAAACGACCTGGGGAGAGATCTTGGTACAAGAAATTAACTCTTGTCTCCACTTCATGTCTCGTTACGGTACCAGGTGTTACAAATAGGATTCTAGTTCTCAGGCCTCTGGGTGGTGGCAAGTCCCACCCTCCCTAAAATCAGTGTCACCAATTTCAACTGGAGGAAGAGCAGGGAGGGGCTGACAAGTGGAAGAGGTCCTGGATACTGTTCTGAACCCAAGGAAAGGGGACGTATGCCCACGAAGACCCGGGACTTACCCGTTGTGAATATGGGCTCGACAACTTTTGCTGTTGTTGATTTTTAAGGTCAGGAGGCAGAAGATGAAGAAGAAACAGGCCATTCCAAAGCAGACTCTGTACACGGCAGAGTACCCCACCAGATTCTGGCAGGTGTCTCCAGCTTTAATGCCTTTACAAAGGTCTTCGTAAAAAGGGATCTGAGGAAAAAGAGAAAACAGTCATCTGCTAAAACTGGTAAAGAAGGGCTGTCATGGTGTTCCCCCAGCCCACAGGTCAGAACCCAGCAAGGAGGCGCGCCACGTGCTCAGAGAAATGAAGGCTGAGAAGGGAGTAGAGTGTCCTTCCAAACACGACGACTTAATTCACTCTGACTCTTTTGAAAAGATCTAGTGTTCATAACGTACCACTCAGCCTTTCCTTTCCCTGAATGAATTCTGAAATCCAGCATCAGGATTTTTTTTAAATGACACTTGTAATACACGGATAAATTTTTCTCAAGATGCATAAATATATAGAAAAAAGTGAGAGACTTCCTTCACTCTCACCCCAAAATGTCACTCCCCACCTCAGGAAAGTTAACATTTTGGGGGGTGTTTTTATTATTTTACATATATAAATGTGTGTGTGTATACACACCCCCATCCTTACACACAACACACACACACACACATACACCTGTATGGTACCATATATAGAGAGAGACAGCTTTATTAAATAAGAGTATACATATTGTTCTGCAATTATTTGTCCAATGAACAGTAAGCCACAGAGATCTCTCCCTATGGATACATAAAACCCCACCCACTCTCTTTAACCACTATGTAATATTTTATAGCAAGGCTGGATCAAAATTGGCTAGCATTCCCATATTGAGCTCCTTGGGAGGATTTTTTGTTTTGTGTATTTGTTTTTTGCTACTACGAACTCTGATTCCATAAACCCTGCTTGGATGCCTCACTGCACACATGCTGTGATTTATACAGACACTCCCGACCCAGAAATGGAATCAATGGGTCAAGCAGTATCTACGTTTTCAAATTTCAAGAATTAAAGTCAAATCACACTTTCAAAGACTGCACCAATTTACATCTCACCAATAATATCTGAGACTGCTCACGTTCCCAACCTGAACACTCAATTCAAAGATAACAAACATTATCTTGTTTCAATGTCCATCTTCCTCATCACTAGTAAAAGTTCACATCTTTTCTTAAATTTAGGGTCCTCTGTAGTTTTCTCTGTGAATTGGCTGTTAACTGGGTTTTTTTCTTGATCCACTGAGCTCTTTATTTACGCATCTTAGTCTTCTAACAAATGCTGACAATTGTTTATTCTAGTCCAATTAGATCTTGATGTAAAACCTATTTACATTATGAGAATAATTAAAATCTTACATAAGGAGAACAGCAGTACATTTTTATTAATGTCAGAAAATACAGATTTAGTCAGTGGTAAAAAAAAAATTGCTTCTCATCAACATCAAAGTTGAACATTCTTCAGAACAGAAAACCAGTTGAAAATCACATTATAGCTGTTATTCATAAGACAAAAATATCACAGGGACAAAAGTCACACAAAGCTGGAGATGAAATTGAAGCATGATAGTTTAGTTCCTTCTCCAGAAAAGATCTTGAAGAAACAATAATAACCGGGGCTATTAAGGTTTCCATAAACAAAAGGAAGACTAAATTTAACTGGACTTCGTCTTCCTGAATGAGGATTTGCTCCCCTCGGAAGAGACCTGCAGTCTGAAGCTACTGCGCCTGACTCTCAGACACGTTTTTCCAAAACAAAACGTATCTTTCCAAAGTAGTGTCTCAGGCAAAAATGCATCATTACGGAGACCGTACAAGCATAGCTCCATTTTCACGAACAGACACGAAGGATTTCATGAAGAAATGTCAAACACTTTGCAGTCAACATGTCGTGCAACTGCAATGTTTTTAGATCAGAGCAAGATATAAATGCATAGAGACTACTATATTTTTTGACCAGGCTGTAAAACAAAGTAACACACGTGTAGGGTTGCCAGAAAAATACAGAATGTCTAGTTAAATTTAAATTTCGGGGCCAGTCCTGGTGGGCCAGTGGTTAGGTTCACCGTGCTCCACTTCGGCAGCCTGGGTTTGGTTCCTGGGTGGAGACCTACACCACTCCACTGTCAGTGGCCATGCTGTGCTGGCAGCTCACATACAAAAAAAAACAAAGAGAAAGACTGGCAGTGGATGTTGGCTCAGGGTGAATCTTCCTCAGTAAAAAAAATAAAATAAAAAAGAAAATTTAAATTTTGCATAAGCAATGGCTAATTTTTTAGTATAAGTGTGTTGTATACAATATTTGGGACATAGACTAAATATTGCATGGGACATACTTATACTAAAAAGGCATTGCTTGGCAAGAGGTAAAGGACAAAAGGCAGTTGGGAAAGGCCGGGTATGCCATGCTAAGAAGTCCGGCCCCCATTCAGTAGGCAAGGAGAAACAACTGTTTAAGCTGGGATGGCTGCAAAGCGGAGGACAGACTGGAAAGGGGACAGGTGTGAGGCAGGAGGGTAAGTTAGAAGGCCACTGTTTACCAGTCCAGGTAATGGATGAAGAGGGTCAACCAGTGGCAGAAAAAATAGAAATTCTGTGGGTAGAAGTCATAGGTGGTAGGAGGTGCGGATGACAAGAATGCGGACAGTGAACCGTGCAAGTGAAGGATGGGGAGGGTTCCCTTTTGCTTCTTTCAACACGCTGCTGTTCAGGGCGGAGGGGACGAGGGTTGGCAGAGGACAGAGTGTGGCACTAGGAAGACACCTCAGGAGTGTGTTTTTAACTTACAGAGGTGGAGGCACCCTAGGCATCCCAGTGAGAACATCCGGTCTGGAAGCTGATTCAGAACGGCAATGAGGACCAGATATGAGGACACAGGAGGGGCCCCTGTGAAGGGCTGAGAGGTTAGCAAGTGCTTTCCGAAGGCTCTGAATTTTCAGCTGTGTTTCACCGTGAGATCGCAAACTCACGGGATTAACCTCTCCAGATACTGAAGCAATGGGGAGACCCCACACAAAGTGAACGTTTCAGAGCCTCAAACCGGAAACCAAAGCTATCCCCATTGAGTGGTTCGGGTAACAAGGAGGTGACATTGCTTTAAATCTGTAAAAACTGTATTCCTGGAGGACCCACACGACCTCACTCATTAGGCTGCCGTACTTACATGGGATTTATTGCTCTATGATACTCAATTGACTCTTTTCCTCCCTCCCTTCTCTCTGCTGCTCTATCAGCAAAGCCAATTCCTGACCCCCCACTATGACACACGCCTGTCAGCACCCCCTTCATCTACACCAGCCCTTCAGGCTCTTCTCCACCTCCCCACCCCAAACGCACTTCTCTCATCTCCTTCTCCTAGAATGCATTTCAAGGAGAATGCTAATGCCAGCAGATCAGAGCTCCAGACCATTAGAGCTCCAGCCCATCAGAGCGCCAGCCCATCAGCTGCCATAGAGCCCTCCCTGTTTACTCCCAGAGGCCCTCGGGCTCCTCAAAGGGTGAGTATGTGGCACTGCACATTTCAACCAAAACACAAGTAGGCAAACCACCCCCTGCTCCAGACAGATCTGCTTTATGCTCTGCGGGCGACTTAGTCATTCAGCCTTCAGTAAGTGGTGAATATTTTTAGGCAAAGAACCTTCGAGTTGAACAAGCTGGCAGGATTCAGCAAGGGGAATTTGCTCTGATCAAATATTTGCTGTTCCAAGCTCCATCCAGTTTTGAAAAAAGAAAACATACATCACATACTGATTCCACAGTGTGGGGTGACGGGGGCAGGCCTGCTCAGGGTATGGCCCCTGAAGTCTGGCTCCGGGCACCCAAGGACACTGCATCCATGTTGGATCTGTACACAGCTGAAGGCAAGGGGCTTCCTCCCAACCCCCAGGGCAACCAGACTCGAAGCCACAAATTATCAGTGAGAACAGTCACGTGGACTCCCAGCCCCAACTCCACCACTAACTGGGGCAAATCACATGTCCTCCCCGAGCCTCAACTTCCTTCTTTGTACAAGGAAACAACACTGCCGCCCACCCCACGAGCTGCCCCGAGATCGAATCAGTTAATCCCCGTGAAGTGCTCCTACAGTTCCTAGTCCGCATAGCCATTAAGTAAACTTCCTTAATTCTAAAGTACTATCTATCTTACAAAAAGAATTTCTGGGAGAAGAAGTCAGGCAAATTACATGTGTCACTGACTGGGTGAGGCATTCTGATACAAGCATGGGGGGAAATGAGCATCCTGGAACTCAGCAGATGCTCTATTCAGTTCACCAAGGGATTCGTATGGAAGGATACAGGGTAACTTGCAATGAGGTGAACCCTTCCCTGGCACATTTATATAAGAACTGAGTTCCGAAAAACAGCTCTCACTTGTCTGTCTTCCAGACACCTGGGCACCACCCAAAGGAAATACATCAACTCCCAAATCACGGAAGACATTTTTAAAACTTCAACACAAGTACTAAGCTCAAAGAGATGGGAGCTAGAAGGAAATCCAAGCAATTTTGTCTCCGTAGGAGAGATGCTAGCCATGCCCCCCAATCTCAGGCAAACAAATATAAAGAAACAGAAGAGCTATGGAAACGCTTACAGGTCTAGTTGGCCAGGGGCTCAGATGCTGCAAACTTAGGAATAAAGGATGGACTGTGGGAGTGGTTCCTACAGAAATGGAGAGGAGGAAGATGAGAGTCCCGCTCCTATAATATTAAAGTATTATTTGAGAGGTCAGAAAATGGCCTATTAGGAAAGCTAATGTTTCTTAAGTTTCATTATATCAGATTTCTAGGGCAGTGAATGAAACCAAGCTGCAAAGAAAGCTCTGGGCAGCTCAGCATGAGTAACAGCATAAAAACTAGAAGAACCGGATCTACAGATTTTTTTTAATATCCCTCACTGGAAAACGAATTTCAGAACCAAGAGCCTCTTTCAGTCTGCCTCTCCTCTTTCTGATATTTTCCAAACTTTCTATGACAATTTATTTTTCTCTGTGGAATAATTCCAGGCTCCACGACAATGTCGTCTGTCTGTCACTCACCAATGGACAGGAGCTGTGAAATGTGGAATGGTAAAATCAGCTTCTGGAGCCCGCCCTGTGGCCTAGTGGTTAAGCTGGGTACCCTCTGCTTCAGCAGCCTGGGTTCCATTCCTGAGCACAGACCTACA